TTAGATAATTTAAATGAAATACAAATGTTGAATTTCTTGTTTGCAACTGATGAAATGAATTTCCAAAGATTTAGTGATTTTATTCAAACATATTTGATTAAAAATCAAGCAGAATATTTAAGAAATGATCTTATTGAAATACTTCAAACATTATATAGATATAAAATTTATGAAAACTTAAAAAATTATTGTTTAAAAATATTTGTAAAAATTCTGAGATACTTTTTGAATCTCTAAAATTTTTATTATTAGATGAAGGATATATTGTCCTCCTTTTAAAACAAAATGAATTTGAAATAAAAGAATTGAAAATTTGGAATCATATTATCAAATGGAAAATTTCAAATATATTTATTTCATTAAATATTAATGATATATTTTAATGGATATCTAATAATTTTAAAGAACTGGGAAATATTCTTTATAATATCTAGATAGTTTTAAATACTTGCAAAAGATTTTTGGCAGTACGTTAGTCCATTTGAAAAAATATTTCCTAAACAATTTTATAAGGATATCATGTTGATCTAAGAAAATTACTAAAAATCATATTAAATTTACCTTAAAGACATAATTTGACTCTTGACTCTATTCTTATTAATAAAATTATTTAACAATAATTGCATGATGGATGATAAAAAAGATATATTTTTTAAATATTTAAAAATATTTCTTATTTATTTAATTTTTTTTATTGAACTAATAGAGATAGATTCGATGAAGATGTATTTCATAAATTATGTAATTATAAAGGTTCAACCATTATGATTTCACAATTACAAGGAAAAGATAAATTATTAGAGGATATACTCATTAAGTTAGAAATTTTATTTGCGAGTAAATTCTCATAAGTCAACTTTAGATAGTTTCTTGTTTTCTTTCATAAAAATGGATGATATATATTCTGATATTATTACAAGAGTAAAATATAGTATTGAAGAACAAAAATATGCTGTATATTATAGTTTAAATTCTGGTCTGGCTTTTAGTAAAGGATGTGATTTGATTATTGTAAAAGATCATATTTATAGACGTTGTTAACGTTACTCTTTCCGTCGAATAAGTTAACTATGATTTAAAG